CAATTGATAATAATAATGCTCAGCCGGGAGACTATTCCTTTTTGGGCTTCCCATGGGTAAGCAAGCGCCGGCCAATAAGGTTTCCTGGTAAGTGACGGAATCGAGGAAAAAAAAAAAAAAAAAAAAAAAAAAAAAAAAAAAAAAAAAAAAAAAAAAAAAAAAAAAAAAAACCCCAAAAGAAAAAGAAAACTGAGATCTTGACTGATGTAAACGGAGCCTGTTTTGCTTTCCTCTTTCTTTTCCAGTTGTGAGGGCCTAATCAGCAACGTTGCCGCATTGATTTAATTTATCTGATTTTAGCGATTTCGATTTACCTTTTATCTCCGTGCTCTCCATCCAGTTTCACTTCTACTCTTCCACCTCCCCCGCATACAATCGACTCCGAATCCATTGGCACCGTTAGATTTGATAGGATGGCGCCCCCTGTGAGTATCTTATTCTAACTATCATTTCTTTTCTTTTCGTTCAGTCTTCTGTACTCCCGGTTTGAATAAAACGACCTTGTGCTAACGCCGCCGAATGGTATGACTCAGATTACTGTTGTGCCGTCGCTTGAGGCCGCAAAGGATGTAATTAGCCACTCGAAAGATGCTCAATATCCCCCCAACCTGCTCCCACTTACTGCGTCTATCCCCGCCGACTTGTTGACACCTACAGTGGCATATCTGAAGGTTGCGGAGAAGTGAGTTCCGATTCCAGAGCCCTCCGCCCCCTCTTGCCTCTGGCGGGGTAGCTGATACGGCCAACTCTTGCGCAGATCCAAACTATCATTCCTCTACGAGAGTGCTGCGACCACGGAGACAATTGGGAGATATAGTTTTGTGGGAGCTGGTATGCATACTTGCCCATCATGGCCACCTTGCTGGACCTACTATTAACCTGTGCGTTTGCGACGCGGTGAAGATCCCCGAAAAGTTCTCAAGACTGGCCCCGGTCACGGCCCCGAGTGTGATCCTCTTCCGATCCTGGAGAGAGAGATCGCTGATTACCGCGTTGCGACAGTACCCGGCTTGACGCTACCACCACTCACGGGCGGTGCTATTGGTTACGTCGGATACGACTGTGTGAGGTACTTTGAGCCCAAGACGGCCCGGCCTCTCAAGGATGTGCTCGGAATCCCAGAGTCGCTGTTCATGCTGTTTGATACCATTGTCGCATTCGATCACTTTTACCAGGTCATCAAAATCATTACCTTCGTTCCTATCACACATGTCGACTCGGATTTCGAAACCGAGTACCGGAAAGGCGAAGACGTGATCAAGCGCACTATTGAACGACTCCTCCGACCCGAGACCCCGCTACCTCCCCAAGGTCCGATCATTCCCAACCAGGAGTACACATCCAATATCGGGCGCGAGGGGTACGAGCGGCACGTGCTGAAACTCAAGGAGCACATCTCCAAAGGCGATATCTTCCAGACTGTGCCATCCCAACGGCTGTCTCGTCCTACCTCCCTCCACCCATTTAACCTCTTCCGTCATCTGCGCACAGTCAACCCTTCTCCATACCTATTCTACATCGACTGCGAAGACTTTCAGCTCGTTGGTGCTAGTCCAGAGCTTCTGGCGAAGGAGGAAAAGGGCCGTATCATTACCCATCCCATCGCCGGCACCGTCAAGCGTGGCAAGTCGCCGGAGGAGGACGAGGCGCTCGCAGAGGAGCTACGAGGCAGTCTAAAGGACCGTGCGGAGCATGTCATGTTGGTGGATCTGGCACGTAACGATGTTAACCGCGTGTGTGACCCGACCACCACTCAGGTGGACCGGTTGATGGTGGTCGAGAAGTTCTCGCATGTGCAACACCTGGTGTCACAGGTATCGGGTATTCTGCGGCCGGATAAGACTAGGTTCGACGCGTTCCGGTCCATCTTTCCCGCCGGCACGGTCTCCGGGGCGCCCAAAGTGCGGGCTATGCAACTGATTGCCGAGTTGGAGGGCGAGAAGCGCGGAGTGTATGCTGGCGCGGTGGGCTACTTCGGATACAACATCGCCAGCACGGACGGAGCAACAGAAACGCCGGGTGCTATGGATACCTGCATTGCACTCCGGACGATGATGGTCAAGGACGGGGTGGCCTACCTCCAAGCAGGTGGTGGAATTGTCTTCGATTCGGACCCGTATGACGAGTATATGGAGACGATCAATAAATTGGGCGCCAACATTGCCTGTATCAAGGGGGCGGAAGCGAAGTATTTGAGCATGGAGGGAGAACAATCATAGACTCAAAGCGGTCTCTTAGCTTTCTTTTCTTTCTTCGGATTCTCTTGTTCCTCTTTGTTGATAGGGAATTGAATGACGACTACGATCTAGAGCGATGGGAAAACAATGAAGTCCTTCACAAATTTTATTTTATATTATTTTCTTCTTTTTGTTCCTTTCATCCCAAGTTCCCACACTCTGATTGGATCACAAGGTGTTATGGGGATTCGTGTTGCGAAGGGTATTTACTACTCAAGCTAGGTAAGGAAATGTCGGCACCGTATTAGTTAAGTCGGAGTGCCTGAACTGAATTGACATAGCGGGCTCAATGCACCTCTCATGTTGGACCCATTGGTCACAGGCCAGGGATTCTTCATTGGAAAACAGAGTTGTTTATGATTGCCCCTTAGATAGGTGATTGAATATCCTCCTAAGGGGTAGCAAAGCTGCGATATGTCCTTGGATATTATTACCTGTCCCTGCCAATGATGGATCATGGCTAACTGAAAGAGGTCCTTGTCTCGGGTGATCCTGGGTCTGCGACGCTTTTGTATCACCCAGGAGTCCATATTCTTCGGGTTGGACACTCTATCTGCTATTACGACCAGATTAATTTCATTGATTGATTGGCAAAGCACTCAGCCTTGTAAAAAGCGCCACTTGTGTGTCAATTCTCTCGAGCAGCATCACCTTCGAGAAGAAGTATCGAATTCTGTCCCCTCCATCGCAACCTTGACCATCTCGATGGCAAGCAGAGTTGCTTTTCTGATCCCCATTTCCTTGCCCATGATATCTAGTTGCCTGGCAATCCACATCGTCTGCTCCAGGCTTCTCCAACATTCTACCACCCCAGCCACGTAAAGCGGCCACAAGACATGCATTTACGCCAGCATGTCGGGCAGAAAACGGTGGGGCTCCACTGATCTGGCGAAAAATAGAGCTGATCCTTATGGTGATGCACATCCTATCTCATCTCAAGGGACCATGGCACCAATGTTGCTAAAGTCCATGTTCTGCAGACCCAGACCACACTTAGTTCCTAGCAGGGTGACCGCCCTGGAGTGCAAGCGCCACCACTAAACCCGGCAATGATGAATGTTTCACTCTCCTCGGATGAGCCTGCCAAAGCGCTTCAGCTGATGGCGCGCATGGCGCCCTTCAATCCCCCACGACTGGCACCACGGGTGCACAAGAACTATGCTATGCGCCTATATGTCGCATATACTGGGTACCTGTGTCTGATGGCGTCAGAGGCACTGTACCCCTTGTACAGACCTTCTGGCAGCCAGGGGCAGCTAACGCTAGGGTCAGATGAGGTGTATATCATGACCATTAAGCAGCAAGCCGCCGTTGGCGACAGGAGGATTCTGGAGCCTCACTGAGTACAACTCCCAAAAGTTCCTGATTGACCGCCCACTCGGGAGGTATTCCGTCAGGGATCGGACTGATCTCGCCTACCCAGACAGGACTCCTGTTTATGAGGATCGAAGCAGCAATGATGATGGTAGTTTTCAGGTTCTGATCCAGCCCGCGGATAAGCGGCCGCCGGCGAATTGGACGTCGAAGTGAGCTCTGCTTTGCCTTCTTGGTCAATTTGCTGGCTAGTCTCAAGACTAACTTGTCCAGCTGGCTTCCAATTCAGTCTGGTGGAGGGGACTTTGAGCTTGCTTGTGAGCGAACTTTTGTCATTTCTACAGGCACCCCGAGTAACGTCAAATAGTGCGATTCTATGAGCCCGGACAGCCATTGCAGCAGGGGAAGTGGGAGTATCCCACGATACAGAAGCAGCAAGCCATGGTTTGACTGCGAAATATCAGTAGTAGAGAGCGCGGGTTCGGCTGTCTCAGGTATCCAGTAAGGCTGTTCAGTAGTTAGATTCATCCTTTACAGATTAGACATGTCCGTCACAAATATCAAATATAATTCTCAAGAAAGATTATTATACACTGGAGACGCGGAAAGCGCGTAAGGTAGCATTACGCTGGTGGCCGGACCAATAAGTAGTAGTATCGGATGAATGAGCACAAGTGTTCATTAAATTAAATGGATGTACAGAAAGAACACTGCTGCCTAAGCGGTACCAATCAGGCTCCCATCCTCCTAATACCAAATTTCCCTCAAGATGGAGAGATTCGGTGGAGGAAAGTAGGTTCAGTTTTTCTTTGGTGAACCGTCAAATTAAGGCTGTCTGGGTTATTATAAAAAAAATATAAAATAAAATAAAATAAAAAGAGCAAAAAGCACGTTGCCTTATGACGTCGTTGGTAACTTTTGGCATTTCCGAGTATCTCTGCACCGCCACAATACTCGAAGTACGGACAGTACGGAGTACATACATCCACCCTTACCCTCCGGTATGAATCAGAGAATGAACTCTGCCGTATGGTAACTTTGCAAGAATCTCGTGTCAGTGAAGAACGATTCTCCTTCATTGGTAAACTGGGTACAAAAGAGGGGTTGAAGAAGAGTTTCTCATGTTGAAGAGGATGCCAAGTCATGGTTGTACGCGGCCGTCCTTTGCCACGGCGCCACGACATCACCAGGGCTGCAGATGGTTTATGAACTAAGTCTTGTGGGGGGGAACAGACCTTTTCTCCTACTAGGTGGAATATTATGGATAGTACGAGGTATATCAGTTGGGTTTGTATCGGTTGATTGGGAGAAATGACGGTTAATTTAGAAAATTAAAAAATAAAATAAAAAGTAAAAGGGTCCTTCGGGCCGTTGTACATACATACATTGGAAAAATCCCGTTGCATACCGTATCTCCATACTATACATACATACCGTAAATAATCATTGTTGAATGTATTGAATAAATCACTTGACGGATTGTATACTTCTGGAACTTCCATCTCTTCTTCCTCACCTCCAACATCATTGTCTCTCTCCGCTTCCTCTCCGATTCTGTTCTTCACTTCTCTGACCCCGCCGGAGTAACGGATCCCATTGTCATAGACCCATTGAACAACTTCTAGGGTCTCTTCAGGGACATTGCTCTACCGGTGGATATCCCTCCACCCCTATTTCCTTCGTCCCCGGAATTGGATCTGCTTTTGATCACTCGGTTCAGACATAATCTCGATTCCCGAATGCTTTTACTGGAAGGGATTACAATCTAAAGAACCGCCCATTTCCAACGGGAGAAAAGAGAACTAGTTTGTGTGTGTGGGGGTGGTTCGAACCTGAACTGATCGGGAGATTTCCATACGATTGGGCGTTGGTCGTCGTCAGCCATCGACCAGTGGCCACCAAAAACCCAGAAGAACCTTCCTGCTCGTCATCGCGACTTTTTCTTTTCTTTCTACCGCTTCTTTCCAAACGCTACCACTACTAATTCTCCTCCTTCGATCTCGCGGTTTCCTTTCTTCCGATCGTCCCTTTCCTGTCCTGATACCCTCGTTGTGTCTTTTAGTGTTCTCAGGGACGATTCCGAGCGGTGGCTGACATTCAATCCCATACGCCCGCCTTCCGTCACACTGCCACTGCCAACTCCACTGCAACCGCCCGCGATAAGGAGAAAGCGACTCACCTCCGCAACTCACCAACGATCCCACCGCTGCCCATTCAACCCCGACGCTCACCTGGGCGGTTTGCGCCTGATTCCCCCTGATTCCCGAGAGCTACCGGTACGCCAGGAGCGCTGCTTATTTTACCCTACTTTGTTTCCAATCATCATCCCATTGGTCTCGAGTGTCCAATTGTCGTCACTATGTCGAAAGTTGTGCGCAGCGTGAAAAATGTCACCAAGGGCTACTCGTCGGTCCAGGTCAAGGTCCGGAATGGTATGTACTGCTAATCTCCTTCTTTTTGCGTTCGGGCTAAGTTACGACTGATTGGTGGCGGTTGCTCGTCGGTCGCTACCGGTGCCCTTGAACCTGTGGTCGACATCGGCTGACGCTTTCAATCCCAGCCACGAGTAATGACCCCTGGGGCCCGACCGGTACAGAGATGGCAGAGATTGCCGCCCTGACGTTTAGCAGGTAGGCTGACCGACCTATTGGCCTCGGGCGATTCTTCCCCCCTCTAGACCGAGCTAATCCGGCTGTACGTACAGTCCCACCGATTTCTACGAGATCATGGACATGTTGGACAAGCGACTAAATGACAAGGGAAAGAATTGGCGTCATGTGTTGAAGTCCCTGAAGGTATTAGATTACTGTCTCCACGAGGGCTCGGAACTAGTCGTGACGTGGGCCCGGAAGAACGTCTACATCATCAAGACCCTGCGCGAGTTCCAGTACGTGGATGAGGATGGCAGAGATGTCGGTCAAAATGGTAGGTCGCGGACGGTATGGTCCCTTACCTCGGTCGGTCGCCCGCTAACGATACGTAGTGCGTGTGGCTGCTAAAGAGCTTACTTCCCTGGTGATGGATGAAGACCGATTGCGAAGTGAGCGCTCCGACCGAAAGCTGTGGAAATCGCGGGTGAGCGGGCTGGACGACTACCCGGGTCATGGAAGTGAGCCACCACAACCGCGTCGAAACGAGCGCCGTCGACGTCCCGCGGACGATGAAGATGTCGAGTACCGCTTGGCGATCGAGGCGAGTAAACATGAGGCCGAAGAAGAACGGAAGCGACGGGCGAAGGGCTCCATGCAATCCGGGGAGGAGGACGAAGATCTGGCCAAGGCGATCAAGCTGAGCAAGGAAGAGGAAGAACTTCGCAAGCGCGAACTTGAAGAGAGCAACGCGCAATCCCTCTTCGATGATACCCCCGTCCCAGCCGCCCCGGCGCAGCCCACCGGTTACAACCAGGGATACCAGCAGCAAAGTGCGGTGGACTGGTTTGGCAACCCGATCAACCCCCAGCAACCTCTGTCGACTGGATACTTGAACAACCAATACGCACAGCCGACGGGATTCCAGGGACAGATGACTGGAATGCCCAATGGATACACCAACGGATTCCAAGCGCAGCCCTCAGGCTTTGACCAGAACCCGTACGGTCAGCCTCAGAATAACTTCCTACAGCCACAGGCCACGCTACAGCCCCAAGCAACGCTACAGCCGCAGCATACGGCGTTTAACACCAATAATCCATATGGTCCCGCAGACATGTTTGCACAGCAACAGCAACAACAACCCCAGCAGCAGCAACCCCAGCCGCAAGATAACTTCCTTTCGTCGGGTAGCAATAACCCATGGGCCTCGAGCAGCCCGCAGCCGGGAGATATGATGAAACCAATGCAGACCGGATCAAACAATCCATTCGCTCCGCGCACGCAGACGCAGCCGTTCCAGGCCAGACCCGCAACGTCCGGACATCCATCCCTGAACACGCTGGCAGAAGAGCGCCCAACTACCGCCTTCAATCCAATCTCCAACTACCAGGCTCCTGTGGCCCCGGCTCCACCCAAAAGTACTCCGCCTCAGATCAACGACCCGCATCACGCTCGTCTCAATGCACTCCTCGCCAGCGGCGACGGCCAAGATACCTTTGGAAACGTCGGCGATCTCCGTATTCCCGCTCAACATACCGCCCCCGGTACCTTCGTCAACTCTGCTGGTCAAGGTCTCGATCGCCTACGCTCCAACCAGACCGGCAACAACCCGTTCTTCGGCCAACAACGGTTCGTCCCCCAGCAAACAGGGTTCGCCCAGCAGCCAACCGGCTTCGCGCAGCCCGCAAACAACCCCTGGGGTGCACAACAATCATACCAGCAGCAGCCTCAGGCTGGAGGCAGCCTGATAGATCTGTGAAAGACGAAACTGTTTTATCCGTGATGTCTGTGGTATACAACTTAACGGGTTTTAGATGGAGGTGGCATACGATACCAGGTCTTTTATCTTGTCTTTATCAATCAAATCTCTACCTTTCTCTCCTTTTATTCCCTTTGTTATGTTGCGTCGTTTTTTACAACGAATGGTTGGGTGTTATGCTCGCATTGAATTAGGGTTCGGGAATTGACATACAGATTTCAGTCCAGTTCATTTAAACCACTTACTTTTACTACTTCTATTACTCCACTATGTCCGGACGCTTACCTTCCTGCTTTCTCTCTCTCTCTCTCTCTCTCTCTCTCTCTCTCACTCGATTTGATGCCAGCCGGGATATCCAACCAGTTCAAACCGAACCCCTTGCTTTCCTCGTGTCTTTGTCTTGCCTTTTTTTTTTTTTTTTTTTTTTTTTGCTCCGTTGATGATGTACCGTTCTACTTATACCTATTACCTACCATATTGATTTGGTTTATGTCTCGTAGTATATAAATTATACTGTACTGTATCATACTACTTCGTATATTGACATGGTTATACTTCCGTAGTAGGTTTGGTTATACGAAGTCTGATGATGGGGGTTTAATATTCCGAAGCCTGAATGTCAAGGGTACTAAGTTAGGTATTGCTGGAAAGAGCCAATGAGACCAGTAAAAGAGAAGGTGGTATGCCTCTACTGCCCATGATCATATCATGTATGCCATGCCATGCCATGCACAGCAGAATATATGCTGAGCTAGTAGGTAGTAGAAAGGGGACAGCACCGGTACTCAATCATCTGTATCCATTTATAAGGATATGTGTGGTCTGTGTTCCCGACCAGGTTCATTCACTACGTACAATATATGCCTTTCCAAGCGTCGCATTCATCCAACAGACAATTCATAATCATGACTCTCATACCATACCCACATAACGCAGAGCAGACCGAAGAAACCATAGCCCAAGGTATCGTATCGTATCGTATCAAACCCAATTCGCCCATTCAAGCCGATCCCCCAGCCACTTAAGTTCCATGCATGCAACGGTCCCAAAGATGAATCATAAGGAAACAAGAAAAGAAAAATGAGAAGAGATACAGAGGGTAGGAAAGGGGGGGAAGGTCTATCCACCTCGCTCGCCGAATTGTCGGGCCCAATCTTCGTATTCTCTTAGTCCGTCCCGACTGACGCTGGGTCGGATGGAGGAGAGACTGGCTTCAAAGTCTTGGAATCGGATGGCGCGGATTTGGTCCATGGGGGTGTGGAGGAGGGCTTCGCCGAGGTTGCGGAGGGGACCCATTGCGGCGTCTTTGGCGAGGGCTGTTATGTCGGAGCCGGAGAAGCCTGTTTTGTGGTTCGTTAGCTTGGGGATACTGATGGTTGGGGAGGAAGAGTAAATGAGGGCAATACCTTCTGTGAGTTGGACTAAAGCGTTAATGTCTTGATCTGTCAAGTCATGCACCTGGTGACTTAGTAATGTCCGGAGTTGTTGTTCGCGGACGTGATGTTCTGGAAGAGGGATATACTGTCGGCGGACGAAGCGACGGCGCGCAGCCTCATCGATGTCCCAGGGCATATTTGTGGCGGCGAGGACGAGGACCCGGCTGGGGTCCCCGCCGGACTTCTTGTCCCTGCCCGGCGATTCACGGCCTGCTGCAGCGCGCTGCAGATCTGACCACTGGATCAGGAATTCGGTCTTTGAGCGTCTTGAAGCCTCGTTCTCAGTGCCGGACGAGCGAGCGGATAAGAGTGAGTCGATTTCGTCCACGAAGATGATCGACGGCGCCAGCGCCTTGGCCAGACTGAACAGGGCGCGGACAAGCTTTTCGCTCTCACCGTGCCACTTCGAGGTCAGTGTGGATGCGGAAACCGAGAAGAATGTCGATTTGGATTCCGTAGCTACAGCGCGCGCAAGCATCGTCTTACCTGTTCCTGGAGGTCCAAAGAGGAGCATACCGCGGGCTGGTTCGCGCAGACCAGAGAAAAGATCTGGCCGGAGAAATGGATAGACGACCGCTTCTTTAAGGGCCTTTTTGGCCCCATCTAGACCAGCAATGTCATCCCAGTGTACTTCATCCCCACGAACTACAATATCGTTGAGGATCTGTCGGGCGGTTGCCACATCCACCCCTTTCGGGAGCTTGTTCAGTATATCCATAATCGCGTCATCCTCATCCTCAACTTCCACTTCGTCCTCATCGGCATCCGTTGATTTGGGGCCAAGAGATTCGGGATCGCTAGATGACGGCGGGGTGATAGCACGCCTGATGCGCGGAGTAGGCCGTCGTTCGGGGCTCGTTCGGGAGATTGACATACGATCTATACTGTCGCTCAACGCATCTTCACCAGTGGAAGCAGGGGTGATTCTCCGCGGTGTCCTTGCAGACCCAGCCTGCAGGTTGTTCGAGGTATCTGCAACCCCCGCGGATCCTCCAGAGGGTGTTGGCGGCTGGTAAGTCGCCCTCAACGCTACAGGCTTTGGTTTGACAGAAGGCCGGGGGGAGGCGCGTGGCTGAACTGTATCATTGGAGCCCTTCGATACAGAAGCGGAATGGGTACGGTTGGCTGATGGCTGCTGGACGCCAGCCGGAGCCTGAGGGGTGGATGTAGGTGTCAAAGTTGGTGCGGGAGTAGACTTCGCCGGTGATCGTCGCGGTGTCTGACCGGGGACGCGAAGTTTCCTCGCCGAGCGACGCTCCTCTCCGGAATCCTCTGGAGGCACGCTTCTCCGTGGGGGGACCCCATCGCCAGACTTCGAACGGGGCGGTGTTGGTTCCTTTCGAAAACTGGGATCATTCGCCACGGTCAAACGGGAGGACGCTAGGGCAGCGTCGCTGACGGCCTTCTCTGACGATGGAGTGCGATAAAGACTTCCCCAGGCCAGACCCGCGGCTTGAGAAGCTGCGGCTGGCCGCAGGTCTTTCCGTCGCGGACTAATTTTCTTTTTGACGGGTTTCTTCAGATCGGCGTTGCGCAGTGTGGACGGCATCGCTTTCCGACGCTCGGGGCTAGAATTGCGGGAAGACGTTGTCTTTGCCGAAGAGGATTGCGTCTTGTGCAATCCGGGACGACCCGCCATTGAGGTTGATGAACCGGTCTCGTTTGCAGTAGATTCCGAGCTAGTGGTGTTAACGGGTGGTGGCGGGCGTCCGGGGATAGTGGGCGGTTTAGATAGATCGGTATATCCGACCGCGGGGACAGTTCCCTCTCCAATCCAACCGCGATAACCAGTGGTGAACGGAGGAGATTTACCAGACGTATCCTTTCTGCTCTCACGGAGGGCCTCGAGTAGATCGACACGCTCCCGACATTGGAGTTCTAACTGGCGGATGGAATCCTGAAGCGCCTTCTCAGTTTCGTTCTTGGGGGTGTACTTGGAGGGTACCCGATAGGCGTTATGGTAGTAAATGGTTTCGAGGGCGGAGCGCCAAGACTTCAAAGCTTCTTCTTCGTTGTTCTGTACGGAAGAGCGATCAGTGACGAATGGAGTCAATTGATGGAAGCAGAACGGCAGACCTGTCCTTCGAAGTAGACGGCAGTCGAGCACATCAGATAACAGTCATCGTAGGTCTTCTGAAGGGAAGACGCCGGTTTGGGGCGCATCATGGATCAAGTACGCCCAAGGGATCTTCGGCGGAATTGCAGGACCCGCCCGCGCGCTATGGATGATAGTCGGAGTAGTGTAATACTAGTTAATCGTAGTCTGGGGGAAGGAATGGCACAAGGACGGGGACCAACTTCTGCTCATTCGTAGGGAGGGAGGCAAAGGAAAAAGAAAGAAAGAACGAAAGACGTTCTGGACGACGAGGACGTGAGTGAGTGAAGTCGAGAGGTCAGAGTGAGAGAGTAAGACATGAAAGTCAGTCAGTGATTCTCCATTTTCCGATTTTTCTCTTACCCAAATTCGGTCATGATTTCGCGTGACGTCGTTGGTGCACCGAAAAAGGGAATAAAAGGTGCCCCACGATGATGGCAAAACTTCTTCCAATGCTACTCTAGTAACTCTACAGCCAACTTAACTCCCTTTTCTTTTGACATTTCGTTTAGTTTTGTGGTCCCCGGAGTGGAGTCGAGTGTCAGTCCTTTATATTAACGAAAATGGATATCTGCGCCAGCTCAGCCTGGCTGGTGTACTCAAAAGTAATTGCCCGCCATATCATCCCGTCTATGTATACATGGGTCCCAAATGCGTAATATATCAGAAGAAATATTCCAGGATTCGGAAATCGATCAAATGAACAAAATAAAACCATAAGAGAAAAGGAACAAAGCCTCCAAAAACAGTTCCCTTGCGTGCCAACGCCGGTATAAATATAGCATACATAGGGCGATCCAAGAAAAGCTCTCGCACTTTTCCCGACACAATCCGTCCCACAAGATGTATATCAACCATTACCAACCAAGAAAATGAAACCCGATGACCAATGGTGAAAAAAGGTACCGAAGAAAGGGTGAGACGTCCTCGCTCCGCCTCATCCGCTGTGGTTCCAGCCAGGCTTTTCCGGCTAGTGTCTCGGACATTTCGCGTACATCCCGAAAAAAACGGTGAATGAGAGAAACGGAGCCCGCGCGAGAGCAGAAGAATCAAGATCGAGCTAATAAAGAGAATGGACAGTATGAACGTCACCCAACATGGCTTGGAATTCCTCTCGCGTCGCATTTCCGCCCTTCGCACGTGATACGTGGCCGCTATCAGCCAACCTTCCTATTTTTTTTTCCTTTAAAAATATTTTTTGTTGAGTGATTTTGATTATTGTTTTGTTGGTCATGGGAGGCCTTACGGAAGGCCCCAGGATGGAGATTTATAATGGATAGTGTGGAAGTCGAATTTATGCGATCGGGCCAGTGGGAAGAAAAAGACCCGTTTTTTTAGATGACCTCCTGGCGCTTGAAGTACGCCTTGGCCATCTCATAAGAGGTCCTTTTGCATGGCATTGTCAGTATAAATCCAAACACAGCAATGGGGGATTTCAGACGAAATAAATCAGGAAAAGATATTCACTCACCAGCAAATGGCTGTGCTGGGCATCGTAGAAATGATGCGAGGACGAGCGCCACGCAGGAAACCACTCCAACCGAACTGCCGCTTGATAATGGCCGCGGCGTTGAAAAGACCCTTCGCCGACCGAATTTCCTCATTCTGTGCCAAACCGCGGGTCTGGAGGAGCGTCTTCACCACGTCGAGCGGTGTCGTGAGACCAGCTGCGAAAGCGCCTGCGAGACCACCCGCAATACAGTGGGTGAACGGGTCGTAATCCCCGGAGGGGTTCATAACCTTGGAAATCGACTCATAGGCGACGAACTGTGTAGCGGTGAAGGGGACGGTCATGCAAAGTGTGGTAGGATAGGAAACGTAGAAAGCCTGAAGACCTTCCGTCCGGTAGACAGACCGGGCGCATTGAAGGATAGTCTTGTGTACCGAGCCATGAACTTGCATACGTTGCTTAATCACTGTGTGTGTTCGATTAGTACACAGCAGAGTCGTGGTTTTCATTTTATTTCTTTTTGGGTGGTGCTGGGCTTGCGGGTTACTCACCATCAAAGGGGTTCATCAAAGCGTCACTGGCAATGGTCGCCGAGGCACCACTCATAGCTGTTCCACGTTAGTAACGAACCACTTAATGACAGACAGTATCATAACCCCATCGGTCACTTACCTGCAGCTAGGGGATGGTGACCGTCATCGACATTGCCACCGGCAAGATCCTTTACAATTTCATATGTGCCAAAGTAGACAGCGTGGGCGGGGCCTATTCGGGAAATTCACATCAGCCTCCGACACCTCCGAGTAGACATCTCCGTATACCGCGGGCTCCGCTTACCAGCACCGACAATAACGCTGGAAACGCCCTTCCATAATGTCCGCCAGCCTTCAATTCGGTAGATTGTGGAAAACGCATTAGTAAGACCGGTGTAAAGTCCGCCGTTCGCGGGATGCAGGATTTGCATGCGAGTCTAGCGTAAGGTCCGATGTTAATATTTGCCTGCCTTTGCAACACGTCACAACACAAAATTTGCGCAACGCATGAAAAGAACTAGCATTAACTCAACATACCTTCAACAAGTCCACCGGATACATGACAGCATGTTCCTTGACTATTGTCAGTACGGGACCGACCATCCACCATTATAACCCATGTTCTTGCACACATACCGCTATCCCTGCGAAGGCACCAGCCAGCATATTCCGGCCGAGGCCGTAGTTAGAGGGGAGGGCCTCGTAGCTATCATAGCAGTATAATTAGCCCCGGAAGCCCCAACATAGTGTATATCAAAAAAAAAGCCCGCCTACGTCTGGGAAAGGAACCGTGGCAATCAGGCAATAGAGAGGCAAGAATGTGGCCTGAAAGCATAACAATGATTTTAACCACTCCCTATGCTTCCCAGCGAGCGATTGGCCAGGCGAAAACAAGAGTTGAAGCGGGTTTTGCGGGAAAAAAAACACATACTCATATTCTAACTCCTGCCCGGGGATTTGTTCGGAGACCGCCATCGAGCTGTCGAAGCTCCAGACGCAGCCGGAGCCGCAAAGAGGAGGGAAAAAGGGTTAGGAGGGAGGAGGGAGAAAAGGGCGCGCGGTGCTAGGTGAGGCGTCACTGTTGTGAAGGTCGAAAAGAGAATACCGAAGAAACCGGGAGCAGGTTGCGGAGTGGAGAGGTAAATCACTAGGGCCGCTTCCGAGGAAGGGAAAAAACAACAAGGAGGCAAAAGAAGTATAGAGGAAGAGACCCGTCTCAACCACCCGAGGAATGGAAAAGAATCAATGCGACAGGAGCAAAAGTGAAATAGGTTAAAAAAATGGATGAGTTGAGAGGATGTGAAAGAGGGAGGGAAGAATAAAATAAATTAAAATGTTTAGTCGGGGATTAGAAGTTGTTACCAAGAATGGAAGTCCTTTCGGTCGGCTCGACGAACGCTGGATTAATGGAAGGTTGATTAAAATGTTATCTGATCCATTTTAGATTAATAGAACCCTCCAGGGAACCACTATGGAATTTTCTGTCTTGACCCAAATACACACTAATATGGGAAGTGATTCATTGTATATTCTTAGGTGTACTGTTCCCATCAGTCTTTCTGTTTAATTCTACTTAATCTGTGAATTTTCTTCATGAATGTACTCTGTACTGTTCTCTGTCTAGCTGAACCTCCGTTAAAAAAAAAATTAGTTAAGCTACGCCAGTTGGGACATTTAGCCTGCTGAATCAGCTTTCCCCGGCTAGACAAAACCAACCCAGGATCAGCGACCGTCCTGGTCCGATGACGGAGTTTATTCACTCTCACCCAGCACATCCCCAACCACTGACAATTGACACAACCAGTTGACCTGTGGCAAGTTGACTCACACCGTTCCGACAGCCTTCCGGATCAATTCCAAACAGATTCACCCAATTCCCATTCAAGACATGCAAGAAGAGGTCCCAAAGAGCTAGCCAAGATTGCCACATCTGACTAACAGGAGAAGTAGAAGTGCCGAATGACGGAGGAATGGCCCGTCCCTCCGCCGCGGCAGCTCTCCTAAAAATCACCGAGCGATGGGAGCAAGGTCACTATTCCCTTTTCTGATTTTTCTTATCTGATGGATCCATCCTGTTGTCCTCCTTTCTGAAATTCTGATTAGTCCATACTCCTTCTCTCTTCAGTCAGAATTATAACCCTAAGCGAACGGCCGCGGCTCACCGGGGATCCCGTAAATACGGTAGTATGTGCAGGGCATTAAGTGACTAATGTATAACTCAGTAGTTCTTAGGCTTTTCTTCTTTCGTACAGGTGACGTGAAACTATATTGTATGGGGTTTCTTACGGAGGACTCCGCAGTATGTATGTTCGTCTTCTTAGGCAACCACGAGTCCTCAAGTTCTCGTGTCGGGCATTTCCGCGGATTCCATATCGACGGGGTGTTTTACATAGGGTTCCTTACCTATATACCAAGATATTAATTTGGGCATGGATTCTTAGAAAATGAGAAAGACTGGACAATAGAAATGCACAAACAATGCAAAAAGGAATAAATGCAGCCCCACTCCGCCCGCGATGTCAAGTACAAGTGGTAGAATTGAATATAGATGTGGACGTTCCCCTATAGTAAATGATAATTGATACAAGAAAGCAAATCACCAAGTAAATAACACCCACGAAAAGCTCCTCTCTTAAATGTTCACAGTGAAACTTTCCCGCAGAGAATTCAGCGCTGTCATGCACGTCGTTAAAGCAAAAGAATGACTGGGTCTTGGGGACCAACCGTGGTTAAACCCGTTTCCCTTCTATACGATTCGCTCTAATCTACCAGTCCACGTTGAAAGACCATTCGCCTGGAGAAACACACGAGTCAGTTCTCTACACCAAAACTTTCTGTGGGGTTCATGACAGAGTCCGTACCATTTTTCAGATTTTCAGCAGTGTCACTCAACAAAATCACCCGCCGTTTGTTGCAATAGGCCGTTTTATCCAAGATGTCCACTTTGAGGTTCGCTAGTTCAGGTACAGGCTTTTCAAACATCTCGCTGAGGTTCTCCACCGCGAGCTCCAAATCTTTCTGGTTATCTTCAAAGATCTCGGTCAGGTTGTTACGCGCAAGGTAGTAGGCAAAAGCATAGGTCCACTTTAGGGTCTGTCGGCATTGTTGAAGTGCTTGTGACGCAGTGTCGAGAAACTGTACTTCGATCCACGATAAACCCGACTGCGACTGAAGGCTCGTCATCTTCTTTTCCGTCTTCAGGTAAAGGTCTTTGTCGAGCTTGGCCGATTGCTCATGGTTTGCATATCGGTTGTAGTAATGGAGATATCGCTCCAATGATGCTCGGGACTTCGCCTGCGCGGTGCGGGCCTCGGATCCTGATTTCTCCTCATAGCGATTGCAATTATACCAGCTAGTACCGTGCTCAGACCATAGGCCCATGCACATCCAGCAGAACTCATGCTTGCATTTGCGGCACGTCATATGGTTGCAACCTCCGTTCTTCTCGATCGTCGAGTGACACCTAGGGCACTCTTTTGTGTTGGCTGAGATCCAGTTGGCCGTTTCGGAATCGTCTTCACACTTCTTGAGCCACATCTTGACTAGCTGACAAGGTGCTGGTTGATGGTCGTTAAGTGTGCAACCAAAGCAGAAATGATGCTTGCAGCTACATTGTACGGTGGGTACAATGCGACGGAGGTCGCGCTGCTTGACCGCACAATCAACAGCGTATTCACAGTTGGGAGCTGGGCACCATTTGAGATTTTCCTTATCATCGACATAGGTTCTTTGTAAGAGGGTGTAATACCTAAACAGTAGTTAGCGGCTGTATCCACCTGCATCCAAGCTAAGTGGACTCACCTATCCTTGAGGTCGGGTGTGACAAGTAGGCCCAACGACTTAGAATCTACGATCATATTACAGCCATCACCCGGACACTCTATCCTGGCCGCTTCTCCTTCCCCACGAATCTTTTGTGCAAGGTAGTGGCGGTAACAATCTACACAGAAACGATGTCCACATCGCATAGCGTATGTCTCCAGGTTATCGTCATCCTCGCAGCAAATCTCGCACACGAATCCAGGTATTACTTCAGTCTTCGGTGTGCCCTCAAAGTTCGTCCCTAAGCCGGCCTCCTCCAGCGTTTCTTCGGGATGATCCATGTAGCCCTCAATAAGCTTTTCCCGATTCCATCGTCCATACCGTAGAAGGATGGCAGAGGATTCCGGTGGGAGACTTAAAATCGATGATACTTCGTTGATTTGTCGATTCTGTTCCCGGTCGATGTCATCCGGGTTTAGGACTTTATATTCAACTTCGTAAGGTTTTCGTGAAGTTGCAACAATGTCTTTATCTTTCGAGAAGCCGCCGTCGAAATCATCACCGAAATCTACAAATAGCAAAGAAGAGGCAGCGTCAGCACCCAGTCAATCACCACCATGCAAAGCTGTGGGCCGCAATATTACGTACCTTCACCTAGGCTCTCATCATCACTCGCCTGGGTGTCCAGAAAGTCATCGGCGCTGGAGGCAACGCTCATAAAATCATCATCAGACTCCATGGTGGTTGACGCCGGCGTAACCAAATCAAGACCCTTCTTTTCCGCGGAAACCGTGAGCACCCCCGAGACGACGGAGGTCAGATCGGTAGCGGGGTTAAGTTCTGCGATACCAGGAGAATCTAATTTCGTCTTGCGAGCAGACTTCCGGGGAGGAGGTCTGGTGGCGGCTTGCGAACGGGCGACGGAATCCTTGGTGGCGGAGTGATTGTCTGTTATCGCCGCCTCGGCCGCCTTTCGCTTCCTTGTTAGAGGAGGCGTGGTGAAAACAGTGGTGTCGCGGCAAGCCGGTATGTGCTGGCACGAAAAAAAAAGTAGGTCCCGAGATTTAACGTCGAGACCTTCTCTTTTTTTCCGAGACAACACAAGGCGCAGCTTACCAAAGGCGGGTAATCAACCTGGGGAAGGCTGATAGATCGAACGGAGGACGAAGGACACGAAGGGCGGACTGAGAGACCAGAGTGTGCAGTAGCAGCAGCAGGACCATGCACTAGCTCTCAGGCGATCAATCGTTGGGCGTGGATAGCTTATCGACGCTGGCACCTTTTGGGTCTTGGGGGAGACGAGAGGGGTGTGGATGTATGTAACTAGGGACGGGAGACGGAACGTCACGGGGAGAGTGGGGGAGCCTTAGGAAGACAAGCCTCAGGTTTGTTTCTTCGCCTTGGGGGGGTAAAATGGCACTAGAGCGCGGTATTGCCGAGAACAACGGAAAATGAAAAAGTTGAGCTCCAGTGTCTACCAATCTGTAGTCTGGGGTAAACAAAGAGTTGCTTGGATAGGGACAGGGGAAAAAAATCAATAAAAAAAAAGAAAAATTTTCAAACAGTGGCGGGATTGCCAAGCAGACAAGTTTACAGTTTTATAAAGACGTGTCAGTATGAGAGGTTTCTAGGATCTGGTGCTAATGCCACGGAATATCCGTGTAGGGGCAAGGCAGCAAAAAGGCAACCTAAAGCGGGTAAACAAATGAAGCAATACTATAGTCCCAATTTTGTATTATGTTTGAGTGGAACTGAATCAGTTGTCAGGCTCAGAGGTGACCATACGATAGATGGTTGATTTTGCTTCGCTGGCATAAATAGATCGAAGGGCACCAATGATGTCAGAGCACCCCTCCGTCAAGGATCTCTTGGTCATTTCTGTTAAAAGTGTCGCCCTTCGGTATGGTGGAGCTCTTACCAGATACATGACTCAACCTGATGACCGGCGCAAATGACCAAGTTTAATAACATTAGGCAGTCACCAGGCAACCAACCCATGTAATACTACGAACTATATATGTCGTGATATCTGGCAATGCATTTTATTGTTTTCACTCATGGCGGTTCATTTTTTGTTTATCCGCGTTTCATAACACGTTCCAATTCTATACCAGATCACTCATCGTCGCTCTCTTCCTCTTCGTCGTCGTCATCCTCTTCCTCGCTACTTTCCTCCTCTTCAGCGTTTGCCAGCCAATCCACGAACTGTTGGGTCTGGCTGCGCACTTGTTTCATCTCGTCAGTACTGGAGGACCTCTCATCAGCCCACCACTGCTCGTATGCCTCCTCTTCTAGGATCTCTAGGTCATATAATTCCTTGGCAACAAACAGAAGGACCGTATCGCCACGGTTGCGGTGCAC